ACCAACCTGATCACTCACGACATCCCCCTACTGGATGATGTCCCGGTCCGGCAGCGATACCGCCGCATTCCTCCATCGGAATATGAGTTGGTGAAAGAGCATATCAATCAGCTCTTGAAAGCACAAATTATTAGAGAGAGCTCCAGCCCATATGCTTCACCTATTGTCTTAGTCCGGAAAAAGGATGGCAGCATTCGTCTGTGCGTTGACTACCGTCAACTCAATCTGAAGACCCGAAAGGATGCTTTTCCGCTACCCACGAATCGAAGAGTCACTCGATGCTTTGACAGGGGCCCGCTGGTTTTCCACTATGGACCTGGCCAGCGGGTATAACCAAGTCCCTGTTGCAGAGAGTGACCGGCACAAAACAGCTTTCTGTACGCCCTTTGGTTTGTTTGAGTGGAATCGTATGCCTTTTGGGCTCTGCAACGCCCCCAGCACCTTCCAACGGTTGATGCAACGTGTCTTTGGGGACCAGCAATGCCAGTCGCTCCTTCTTTACCTGGACGATATTGTTATATTTTCGTCCACGGTACAGCAACATCTGGAGAGGCTGGGCGTGGTGCTGGGGAGGTTGCAGAAAGAAGGGCTCAAGGCTAAACTGAGCAAGTGGCCGTTTCTTCCAGCGGGAGGTGCACTACCTGGGTCATGTGATCTCCGATCAGGGAGTTGCCACGGACCCCAGCAAAATTGAAGTAGTAGTTAACTGGCCTACACCATCCACGGCTACGGAACTCCGTTCCTTCCTTGGATTCGCCAGCTACTACCGACGTTTTGTCGAGGGTTTCGCCAAACTGGCTGCTCCCCTACATCGCAGAGTTGCTGAACTGACTGGTAGGAAGTCCAGGAAAAGGCCCGTCCGGAGTGATGCTGGACCCTGGACCCCAGAATGTCAGCAGAGCTTTGAGGCTCTAAAAGCCAAGCTCACCATGGCTCCGGTACTTGCCTATGCTGACTTCTCCCTCCCATTCATTTTGGAGGTTGATGCAAGTCATGCTGGATTGGGGGCAGTGCTCTCCCAGGAGCAGGAAGGGAAGGTGCGGCCTATTGCCTACGCCAGTCGAGGGCTGAGTCCGACTGAGCGTAATATGTCCAACTACAGCTCTATGAAGCTTGAGTTGCTGGGCCTTAAGTGGGCTATGACTGAGAAGTTCAGGGAGTATCTCCTAGGCCATAGATGCATTGGTCTATACTGACAACAACCCCCTGAGCCATCTTGCGTCTGCCAAACTGGGAGCTGTTGAGCAGCGTTGGGCCGCCCAGTTAGCTTCGTTTGATTTTGAGTTGAAGTACCGTTCAGGTAAGTGTAATAAAAACGCTGACGCTTTGTCTCGTCAGCCTGGCACCACTTCACAGGTATCGGCATCCAGGGCCTTGGGCACGTGTTTGCCTGAGCAGTTGCAGCAAGCTTGGCAAGGAGTAGCTACACGGGCAACACAGTCTGTGGTGACTGTCCTCCCTTATGTTGCCCCTGCTGACCTCCGGGAGCTTCAGCAGTCTGACCCCACCCTTCAGGAGATCCTGACCTTCTGGCAACAGAATCGACAGCCCACTCGTATAGAGCGACGAGCCCTTTCTTCCGCTGCCCTTTTAGTGCTGGCCCAGTGGGACCGCTTGGTTGAGTTAGAGGGGCTGCTGTATCGGCAGGTGTTTCGTCCTGATGGTGGTGGGGGCTGTGTATCAACTTCTTCTGCCCCAGAGCCCTTGTTCAGGATGCCCTCACCCAAGTCCATCAGGAGCATGGACACCAAGGTATAGAAAGGACTTTAGCCCTGTTGCGTTCCAGGTGCTATTGGCCTGGTATGTCCCGTGAGGTAGCCCAATGGTGCCAGGCTTGCGAGAGATGTCAGCATGCAAAGGACAATCAACCTGTTGCGCACGCGTTCATGAGCCACTTACTGGCTTTGCAGCCGAATGAGATTGTTGCAGTGGACTTTACACTACTGGAGCCAACTCCTGATTGGTCTGGAGAATGTGCTGATAATGACCGATGTTTTTAGCAAATACACCTTGGCCGTCCCAACCCGCAACCAGCTCGCCTCTACAGTGGCGCAGGTCCTGGTTACGGAGTGGTTTGCAAAGTTTGGTGTGCCGGCTCGCATCCACTCCGACCAGGGCCGGAACTTTGAAAGTAAACTCATTCAGCAGTTGTGCAGCTTGTACGGGATCATCAAGTCTCGCACTACCCCATACCACCCAGCAGGTAATGGGCAGTGCGAACGCTTCAACCGCACGCTGCACAACATGTTGCGTGCGCTGCCTACATCCCGTAAGAGAGACTGGAGTTTCTTGCCTGCCTCAGGTGCTGTACGCCTACAACACCACTCCACATCAGTCTACAGGCGAGTCGCCCTTCTTTTTGATGTTTGGGCAGGAGCCGCGACTGCCGATCGACTTCCTACTCAGTCGGGTGCCAGAACCTGTGGGGGGAACTGTGCACGAGTGGGTGCAGGAGCACCAGGCACGCCTTCAGGTGGCCTTTGATGGTGCCAGGGAGAGACTGCGCATAGCTGCTGCACGCAGAAAGGCAAATCATGACCAGAACGTAAGAGAGGTGGTACTTAAGGAAGGCCAACAGGTGCTACTTCGCGACCACGGTGCCAAGGGTCGTCGAAAGACCCAAGATCTGTGGGGCCCAGTCACCCATGTAGTGCTTCAAGCCCCAAGAAGAGGTGGTGTTGTATACACTGTGGCTCCAGTGGATCAGCAAACCAAAGTGAAAAGAATACACCGGTCCTTGCTGAAGCCCTTGCGTAATAGTGACTCTCCGGCTCCCCTACCGGTCGTGAGTCCTCCTGTTGCACCTTCAGCTCCAGTGCCGGACGACGAACTGTCCTTTGAGGATGACTTATTTGTGCAGGTGTCTGCCTCACCGCCAGCAGCCTTGCTCCCTGCAGTAGTGGTGCCGCCCCCACCCTCTCAGGCCTCTTTTATCGCAAGTTTCTAGGGCTCCAGAACCATCAGCGGCTCTTCTTGCTTCTTTGGCTGGCCAGGCGCCGTCTGCACCTGAGCCAGCAACTCGTTATCCCGATCAGGTCACTGCGCGCAGATCTACTCGGTCAACAGCTGGCCAACACCAGAATCCCCATCATCTCCCAAGGTCCATAGCTGGACAGCCGTCTAGGGGAGTTGATGTGGCCGAATCGTCATCTAGGGCCACCTATGTAGTGTTTAGACCGTGGTGCTAAGATGCATCTCTTCATCGTCGGGTCGACGATGCAAACCGGGGGGGTAGAATGTGGCATGACCGGCTTTGAGGGTCTAGGCTGCAGGTGCTCTTACCTGGCGTTCCGTGGCGCTGCGCTGGTGGGCTATTTAAGCGCTCCCTTCTCAGTCGTTCCCCCTTTTGGCTCACACGCTCTTCCGGGCCTCTCCTTGTGGCCGCTCTGTCCTCCCGCTCAGGTAACTTCACTTTGTAACTTCCATGGCCGTTATATCCAAATTTCCATCCACGTCTCTTTTTAGTGCCGCTGCTTGGCCGGTGCTCTGCACCGCATCAGTCCCTCGCTCCTCCGAGTCGCGGAGCACCTAGGGCGCGCTTTCATCTCCTCTGACCAAGGTAATGCACGCCCGATACTCCTCCACTCATTCATCCGTGCCCATACTTTAACCGGTGTCTCTCGGTAGCTCCACGGGTGGGACGAGTGAGTCCCTCCCCATTGCGCTTGGCTGTGCGCCGCCGTGTCCCGTGGACCGCGGCGGCAGGTAACCAAAACCGTATTCCCACGTGCTACCTGTGCCAAACAATTCTCAAAATTGTCTGTTTGTAGCGTGTGCCGGTCCACGTGTTTGGACCACGTCTGGACGGTGTTATTCTGTGTAGTCGCATTCAGCCTGGGGATTGCGCACTGTCACACTCAACCACGGTATGTTTGGCCCAGATCCTTACGCTGCAGGCTCTGAGTTTAATCCCAAAATTTAACTTTTCAGGTGTCGGCGGGGGCCTGCAGCGGCGTGAGGACACCACCTCTGCTGTTTTGCTTTTAGTTTTATTTTGTTTTGCTTTTAGTTTTATTTTGTTTTGCTTTTAGTTTTATTTCGTTTTGCTCTGTTTTTGTTTGTTGGGTTCTGTTTGCTTTGTTTCAGTTTTGCTTTGGGTTTTGGGGTTTTGTTTTGCACTTTCAATATTGTGTACCTGTTCACCCACTGTAGTGTTTTACTGGTTGCCTATTTTTATGAATGTAGCTACTTTTAGCATTTAAATCTGTCTTTTAAAACAACAGAAAAATCAATAAAGATTGTGTAATTGATGGAACCTGGCTCCCTCTCCCTCTATGATATACTTACCTGTGTGCCTTACATTTACTTAATTTCCCCAAACTAGATTTGGGGTGGCGTTGTTGCAGCAACATATTATCACACTTAAACAATTCCCGGAGCGTTAACCCTCGGTTGCCACATATGTAAATGCATACAATACAAATTTTACTCCAGCACTGATCAAACATGTGGTTAACAGAAATGGTAGCCTTACCTTTTTCATGTAGTTAGCCAGTGTCTTTGGTTTCCAGCTCATCACTTCATATTTTGAAGGAGGAACACTAGAACTCATTCTAAATGTTTGTTGGTACTCAGAACTGTTGTGTGTTGTATGTTGCTTCTTCGCTTTATCTGTTGTTTCTTGTAATGGGTTGATGCTTTTAGAGTAACCAGTGAAGACTGAAACTTTCAGTGGTTTAATGACAAATAACTTCAGACATGTAAAATTAGCTGAGAGCACACTCTTGAATATGCACTGGTCACTAAAAATAGTTGTTGATTGTTTCCTTTCTGCTAGCTACCACATGCAAGCACACACCAAGATGTTATGATAGCATGCTAATATGTAAGTAGACTTTAAGCGACCTCACTGATACAAATCTCTATTTACAAACGGGTAAATACGTAGCAATCTTTGTCAGATCTTGTTTTCCAGCCTGAGCTCATCCTGTAGGGCCATTGGTATCTCACACCCGGGTGAAAGAGGAGGGCAGCCCAGGCCAAGCATTGATCAATCATCCTCAGATCCCCCCAGAGCCCCAGGCCTCATGAGTGCGAATATTTGAGTCCTCCTGGGGGGGTCCTTGTGGGAGATTGCCTCCTCCCACCTCTACAGACTTTTCTCCTCTTCTGATAGAGAAACATTTCATTACACTACTCCCCCGTACCCCACGCCAGTGTAAAAGCAATGATGGAAGAATACTTTGAAAATGTATTTAGTTGCAGAATACAGAATACCTGCATTAAAATGGATTTCAAAACTAATTCTGTTACATGGTCCATACAGAGTACTATATTCTGAATACACAGAAGACTTTTACATCAAGTTGCATTTAAATTATAGAGTAAAAACGCAACGTAGCCAGTGAAAGGGCTTTGTTTGTTTCATTGTGTTTTGCATTTATGTATCACTAATTGGCAAAGGAAAATCACACATGCACTCACCATGAGCGGCGTTTTCTATTTTTCTCTCTCTGATATCGAGCCATTTGAAACCTAAATTTTGTGATCAGGTACAACAATGTATTCCTATGACTTTAGGAAAGTAATTGTATTCTGAATACCACCAAATGAAAAAGTACCTGCACCAGAATATAGTTACTCAAAATGTGTATTCTGAATATATATTCTTGGTACATGTATTCAGTTACTTCCCAATACTGTGTAAAGGATGCACTATGGATTTACAGACAGCCAAGAAACTAATCAAAATACTTTTGTTGCTGCAGTTTTGGGGATAATAGTAATTTTGGGGGAGGTTTTGAAACATATAATTGTAGCCATGTAATTGTAAGGTAGTTTTAAAATCATAGGAGTACTGTCTCACCTGTGTGTACTTAAAGACAGGAGTAGAAAGTAACTACCAGTAGGCCTTCTTTATAGATTTGGAGTATTTATGGTAGAGTTTAAAAGACATGTCAATTTAATTAGCTACATTTAAAATCTACATGTAATAATAAAACATAAAAAAATTCACCTGGGTCATCTTCGTCTCTTGGCACTTTCTTGAAGCAGTCATTGAGCGACAGGTTGTGTCTTATTGAATTTTGCCATCCTGCTTTGCTTTTGTTGTAAAATGGGAAATTATCAGCCACATACTGATAAATTTGACTTAGTGTTAGTCCTTTGTCTGGCGCCCCATGGATTGCCATAGCGATGAGAGCAGAGTAGGAGTACGGTGGTCTCACTAACTTCATTAAATCTTCTTGTGAGGGCAGGGAGAACCAGCTTAGCTCCCCTCCTGGACCCCCAGCTCCGGCTGGGCCAAGGTATGGCCTCTGCATTCCATAGTGCTGCGGGACAAAGGGAGGCCCTGGGTTCCCCGGCGTTGCGGTGCTGCTCAGGTAAGATGGTGTGGAGTTGTTGAACCAGAGGTAAGGATTTGGAGAGGGGGTGGTGTAGTCACTGAGCTCATAGGACGTTGGGGTGGTGCGCTGAGGGCTGGGCAGTGATGGAGGAGGGTAGTAGCAGTCACTGTACATGCTGAGCTCTGGAGGCTCCTGTCCCAAAGTAGGGAACTGTGGACCACACCGAGGAGGAGACTGGCCCTCGGACTCAAACGAGGACATTGTAAAATCTCTTCTTTCCTCTTCTTCCTATATGTGGTAAAATGTTGCTAAAAAGGAAATCTTTCAATGAACAAATCTTCTGTCCAACTCAAATAAAATAATAAAGTCTTTGCAATCCTTCGGTCACCCTGTCCCACTTGTGTTGAGACTGTTTGCTCTTGCTTAATGTCACAATGCCACCTGTCATACCTGCTTTATCTCCCTGGTAACGTACTCCACGCTCCATCCTTCCTCTGATTGGCTGTCTTCAACAGGTGGGATGCCGGTTCCAGGACTTTTGCTCCTGTCAGCTTATTCAGTACCTTCAGGGCTTTTGCTCAGAAAGCTCCCCCACAATAAAATCATTTTCCACTCAGGTTGCTGGCTAGCATAACATTTTAGTGGAGACATCTGTGTGTTCATCTTAAATCCTACACAATCCTAATGCAAAGGGATTTTTTTCTCAGCACTTTTCATCATTATCTCATTACATTAAAAGAACAAGTGAATAAATAATAATAATAATAATAATAATAATATTAATAAATATAGCCGCAAGCGGCAATGATCGGCCCTCGCGCGTGCTTGCGCCGCACCCGCAAACGCCACAGCCCGCATTGTTCCTATTCCCATGATGCATCTGTGTACCAAATTTGGTTTGGCTATGCCAAAGTTTTTCTTGGGTGTCCTATTGGCGAGGTCAGATGTTTAGCCTGTCACCATGGCAACACGATGGGGAAATGGCAGGGGGCATCCTAGACTTTTTTGATCGAGACCATGTCATGAATCTGTGTACCAAATTTTATATGTCTACGACAAAGTAAATTTTGGCACTACCGTGCAATTTCTCTAGGGGGCGCTATTGCGCCCACCTGAGATTTTCTTATATAAATCTGTTCAGGGTCGGGGTGTGAACCCACGATTATAATTTGAATGAAATCGGCCAAAGTTTGTGCCAGAATTTGTAGATTTTACCAATGAAGAGTTTATGTCATCGCTATGGCAACGCCATAAAAAATATGACATGGGTGTTACTGACTTTTGGATCAGGATGCCAAAATGGAATTTTGTGCTAAATTTCAGAAACTTTTGAACAACTATTTGGGAACAAATGATTTTCTCACATATTAAATTTTGTTTCAATCTATGGGGGCGCTAATGCACCAAATTAATAATTTTCACATTAAGTAGCTTCAGGGCAGAGAGTTTAACAACTGTTTCAAATTTCATTGAAATCAGAGTTCATTTGAGCAAATGGGAGCAATTTGTAAATCTCCAAAATTGTATGCATTTTTTGTTGCTTCATTGCTCAGAGACCGTAAGACGTGTGTGAAAAATTTTGATAACTTTTGATGTTCCACATCTTGCGATAATGTGGACCAAATTTGAGCTAGTTCGGGTGAACGTCCTTGGGGGAGTTTGTAAAAGCTTAGCAAACTTTCAGCCAATATTGCTGCCCCTAGTGGAGCGGATGGTGTTGGTGTAATAATATTTTTTCCTTGTCTTGACATGATCGACTTCTGTGTCAAATTTTGACTTTGAATGATTGTACATGCAAATTTTTTTTGTGTGTCATTCGTATTCCCTAATGCATTTTTGAGTTGTTTGGGGGCGCTGACGAGCCATTTTATTTATTTTTGGAAAATGAAAATAGCCAAAAGTTAGAGAGGTGCGAGTTTTACCAGATGGGAAAATTTCAGGACTTTTCGTCATTGTTCAGTGAGTGAAAATTGGGTGAGAACCGATACGAGAACAATGTTCCGCTTTTTTTTGGCCAACTATACATTTTCGGAAACCTCTGGCGCATTGCTACGTGATGGCGAGGGTCCCTGGTCACTATGGGCAAGTTACATCGCGCCATTTCATTTTTTGGCCACTCGGAGCATCGCTTTGCGATACTAATAGGCCCTTCGCCAGCCTCTGGCGCTCGGGCCTAGCAAAAACAATATATCCGAAAAACATTAGAACAACATATTATACGTTTTTTGAAAGCTCTCGACCTTCCCCACGTCACTGTGGGGTCATTGGTGAGTGACGGGCACTGATGCGCTCGTCATTCATCATCTCATCGAGGTCACCCATCACCTTCCATTGACTTCCATTCATTTTAGCAGTAGTAAATATGGTTCAGGCCTTGGGCGTGGGTTACTGGGATACTGCTGTTCGTGCCGGGGGCGACTGTGCATGTCGTCGTGTCGCATTCGGCCATGCGCTCATTGCTCCCCATTCGCTCCGCGTAGCGGAAGCAATAGGCCCTACGCCCTGTCGGGGCTCGGGCCTAATAAAATAAAATAATAATAATTCGAGCAAAAACAATATATCCGAAAACATTAGAACAACATATTATACATTTTTTGAAAGCTCTCAACCTTCCCCACGTCACCGTGGGGTTATTGGTGAGTGACGGGCGCGTCTGGACCATTTCGTCGGGGTCGCCCCCTGACCTCCCATTGACTTCCATTCATTTTAGCAGTAGTAAATATGGCTCAGGCCTTTGGCGTGGGTTACTGGGATACTGCTGTTTGTGCTGGGAGCGACCGAGGACAATGTTCCATGTCGCCCTGTCGCATTCGGACATGCGCACGTCACTCCCCATTCGCTCCGCTTAGCGGAAGCAATAGGCCCTACGCCCTGTCGGGGCTCGGGCCTAAAAATACCTGGAGGAGAGAGAGTGATGCCCTGAGCACAGAGCATGATGTCAGGGGGAGGGAGGGGAGGGTCAGAGTGCTGGGCCAGTGTGGTGTCTGGATGAGTGTGTGAGTGTTTTTTTTTTCTTGTCATGTATATTGTACATGTATAATTGAAGTGCTGTTCTGTGAAGTGTGGGGGGTAGAGATGCGCGGATTGCGGTTACAACCGCGGTATCCGCGGTTAATCCGCGGGTTGGGCGGATGACGTGACGAAAAATTATATTTGAATAAAATTCGGGCGGGTGGCGGTTTAACTACTAAAAAAAAAAAAAGTTATTGTTAGTATTGTTACCTACATCTGAAAAGACGAGTCTCATTGTCTATGCTTGTAGTATGAAGTGTACGTCATATCCTTAATTAGCCCATTTGACCTCATTTTTATGTTCTGAAGGTTAACGTTGTGTCGGGTTATTGATAGCCTAAGGTTTACGAGGCACATATTATATGCAGTTTATTTTATTATTTCTAATTTATTTCAGCCATTCACTCCCATAGAGACACAAAACTGCCAGAGCTGTATTGTCGCGTTAAACCTTCTTTATCGTGGCATATTATTTCCCCATAGGAAAATAATCCAAATGTATCCAGCACATGTTCCCATCACGACCTGGGGTTTGAAGTAACAAACGTTGCTCTTTACTGCAGCGCATGAACGCGCTCAACCACTTGATCTGGTCGCTGTTCCAGACGCTCCTATAACAGGTGACATACCGCTATGTCGTGTAACAAATAAACATGGTCAAGCACAAAATGCTGTCCGTGTCATCACTGTCATGAATGTTGTGTTTGTGTAGACATGTACAGACTTATATAATGTGTACAATGATCTAGTTCACACAATTTGCAGTGCACATTTGAAATATCATCAACGAGCAGCGAAATCAGAGAGAAGAATGAGACATAGATTTAATACAAGATTTATATTTAGATTTCAAAAAGGTTTAAAATGGAGGTTTTCAACTGACAACACATAAAGTGGAGCTGTGAAGGACCAAAAAGGTGCCCAATTGTTCACTTTTATGGTACAAGCATGAAACTTTGCCAGATTAGTAACATCCCTAGGACCAACATTTCTGGATATGGAACCAAGCCCAAGTCGACCCTGGAGTCGAGTACCATGCATGTCACAAAATGGCTGACATGGAAACAAGGCTGGGAGCTAAATTATTGCTTAAACTGCCTTTTTTTGGAAAATAATGTTAAATAATCATACAGGTTATAAAGAAGAATATGTATTCTCAAGATACTAGCTACTGCAAAGCGGCTTCAATGCTGTTTTTAAAATGAAAGTAAAAATGAAATCACAAAGATATTTGTTACTAAACTAATGGTGTTTTTTTAAAGGTGCATTGTGTAACTTTTCTGGTTACCATGGAGATGTTTATTGCTTGCTGGAATGTTTCACAGTATGGTATTAAAAATTTCTATCTCCATGGAGACTAAACCAGACCAAGTTACAGGTCAGATCTGTGGAGAGGCGACTCTGCTCACAGTCACAACGCCTGTTTTTCTAGGTATTTTTGAGCAATAAAACCACCTGTGATTGAATACATGTAAGGTAGATCTGTTTAATGTCATACTGTGGAACATTCCAGGCAGAGCAGTGACATATCCATAATAACAAGCAGGTGACAGACCCCCAATCAAAAAGTTACACAGTGCATCTTCAATAGTATTATTTACTGTTTCTAGTGCTTTTTTTTTTTGTTGTTAATCTTAGAGCAAACTAGGTAAATTTGCTAAATAATCTGATCAAAAATGTGTAAAAATGAGAGTATGTGAACTCTAGTGGCCTCTGTGGTATCAAGTACTATGTGACATCACACAGGACTGCCCTGATTACAGCCTGTTGTTTCTGTTTATAAAATCTTGGCTATGAGGGGGAGTTTGTAGTGTGGATACGTGTCACACTGTTCCTTATACCCCCTAGCCCCGCCCCTAAGTTTATCAGATCTATTTGAAATGTGTTTGTGGGTGGAGTTTAGGTGTTTAGTCCCACTTTAAGGCGAATGTAAAACATAATTTTATGTAGGTTTGATTTTCTATCTTCATTTCTCTCTCCCTCCTCTTTGTTTAGCCTGTAGATTCAATGGTTCAGTCAGCTCTTTGGTCTTCCTTTAAGTTTCCTGGTTTAAATGGTGAAAAAACTACTCAAAATCTGTGAATAAAAGTACAGTTACATAGCAAAACATCTACACAATTACAAGTACTACTGCGAAACTTGTACTTGAGTGAAAGTATAAAGTACACAACTACACAAGTGACTAGTATTTAAGGCTTTGTACATAAAACTTCAAGCTGACTTAAGTTTCTTTAATGCAGGCTTGTTCT